CTCTCTAAGTGACCAGAGCCCGCTGAGTCCCTGAAGCTGAGGTGGACCCTAGCATCCAGGCCATGCACAATCAAGAGGAGTAGATTAGGAGCCTCAACAACAAGTTTGTTTCCTTTCATCAATAAGGTGCAGAGTCTGGAGCAGCAGAATAAGATTCTGGAGACCAAGTGGAACTTCCAGCAGCAGAAGATGACTCGCAGTAACATGGACAGCATGTTCGAGAGCTACATCAACAACTTTCAGTGGCAGCTGGACACACTGGCCCAAGAGAAACTGAGGCTGCAGGCGGAGGTTGACAACATGCAGGGGCTGGTGGAGGACTTGATGAATAAGTACAAGAGTGAGATCAACAAGCACTCAGAGTTGGAGGAAGAATTTGTCCTCATCACAAAGGATGTAGATGAGGCTTACATGAACATGACTGAGCTGGAGTCCCACCTGGAAGGGCAGACTGATGAGATCAACTTCTACAGGCAGTGGTAGGATGAGAAGATTTGTGAGCTGCAGTCCCAGATCTCTGACACATCCCTGGTGCTATCCACAGACAACAACCACTCCCTGGAACTGGTTGGCATTATCACCAAGGTCAAGGCCTACCATGAGGAGATAGCCAACCACAGCTGAGCTGAGGCTGAGACTGTGTACCAGATCAAATATGAGTAGCTGCAGACATCGTCTGGGAAGCACAGATTATCTGTGTTGCACGAAGACAAACTTCTGAGATGAACTAGAACATTAGCCCACTCCCAGCTGAGATCAGGGCCCTCAGAAGTCAGAGAGCTTCTCTGGGAACCACCATCACTGATGCTGAGCAGTGTGGGGAGCTGGCTGTCAAGGATCCTCAGGCAAAGGTGGCTGAGCTGGAGGCCACTCTGAGAACCACTAAGCAGGACATGGCCTGACAGCTGCATGAGTACCAGCTCGTGAACACCAAGCTAGCTCTGGATGTGGAGATTGCCACCTACCACAACTTGACAGAGGGTGAGGGAAACCAGCTGGAGTCTGGGATACAGAACATGAGTATCCATACCAAGACCACTAGGGACTACTCAGGTGGGCTGAGCCCAGCTTATGGGAACCTCAGCTATGGCCTGCGCTTCCAAACCAACTTGGGCTCTGGTGGGGGCTCTTGTTCCTTCAGCAGCACAAGTACCAGTTCCTCCAAGAGAGGGGTTGTGAAGAAGATTGAAACCTGAGATGGGATGCTGGTATTTGAGTCATCTGCGGTCCCTACTGCCCTGACAGCCTGTGGGAAAGAAGCTGTGCAGGGAGAACAGTGGGCATAGGCTCAGCCCCAGTCCTCAGCTCACCTTTGGGGTAGAGGAGTTTACATGCCCCCAACTAATCATGTGGGATTTTTTCCCCAAAATATCATCTCAACTGGCTCTGTCAACCCTAAAAGAAAATAAGATAAAAAATAAAGCAAAATTTTGTGAAACCTTCACTTTGTACTTTTTTGAAAAATATGTAATAATTATATTTTCCATTACCATTTAGTCCCTTTATACCTCCATCCCCCCAGCAATCACCACCCTGTTGTCCATGAGTCCTTTTTTGCTCAAAACTTCCACCTCCTAACCTCTCCTACCAACTAGCTGTCATCTATTCTCCATCTGTGAATCTGTCTGTTTTGTTAGTTCAGTTTGTTCATTAGGTTCCACATATGAATGAACTCACATGGTATTTGTCTTTCTCTGAATGGCTTATTTCACTTCAAATAATGTTCTCCAGGTTCATCCACACTGTTCTAAAGGGAAATATTTTCTTCTTTTTTATGACTGAGCAGATTCCATTATGTAAATGCCCCATAGTTGTTTTATTCACTCATCTATTGATAAACACTTGGGCTGCTTCCATATATATCTTGGAGATTGTAAATAGCATCGCAATGAACATAGGGGTGTTTATGTTTTTTCTCATTAGTGTTTTGGGTTCCTTCAGATATATTCCCAGAAGTAGGATTGCTGGGTCAAAAAGTAGATCCATTTTAAATTTTTTGAGGTATCTACACATTGCTTTCCACAGTGGCTGCACTAGTCTGCATTCCCACCAACAGTGTAAAAGGGTTCCCCTTTCTCCACATCATTGCCAGCAAGTATTGTTTTTTGATTTATTGATGATAGCCATTACAACAGCTGTGAGATTATATCTCATTGTGGTTTTTATTTGCATTTCTCTGATGATTAGTGATGTTGAACACCTTTTCATGTATCTGTTGGCCATCTTCATACATCTGTATGTCCTCTTTGGAGAAGTGTCTGTTCAGGTTCTTTGCCCATTTTTTAATTGGGTTGTTTTTTTTTTTTTGGTTTTGATTTTTGTAAGTAGTTTATAAATTTTGGATATTAACCCCTTATCAGATGTATTGATAAATGTGTTCTCCCATTCTATGGGTTGTCTTTTTATTTTGTTGTTGATTTCCTTTTGCACTAGAAAGTGCAAAAACCTTTTAGTTTGATGAACTCCCATTTGTTTATTTTTCTTTTGTTTCCTTTGCCTGGAGAGATATATCCAATGAAAATTTTCTATGAGCAATGTCTGAGATGTTGCTGCCTGTTTTCTTCTAGGATTTTTTATGGTTTTTGGGTCTTATATTTAAGTCTTTTATCCATTTTGAATTTATTCTTTTGTGTGGTATAAGAAGATGGTCTAGTTTCATTTTTCTGCATGTATCTGTCCAATTTTCCCAACATCATTTATTGAATAAACTATCTTTGGCTCATTGTATGTGCTTTCTTCCTCTGTCAAATATTAATCGACTATAAAGGTGTGGGTTTATTTCTGGTCTCTCCATTATGTTCCATTGATCTATGTGTCTGTTTTTGTGCCAGTACCAGGCTGTTTTGACTACTATGGCCTTGTAGTATAGTTTGATATTAGGTAGCGTGATTCCTCCAACTTTGTTCTTCTTTTTCAGAGTTGCTGTTGCTACATGAGTCTTTCTGTGGTTTCATATAAATTTTGGAAATATTTGTTCTAGTTCTGTGAAATACATCATTGGAATTGTGATAGCAGTTGCATTGAATCCATAGATTGCTTTGGGTAGTATGGACATTTTAATGATGTTACTTCATCCTATCAATGAACATGGTATGTGCTTCCACTTATTTGTATTGTTTTTCAGTTTCTTTCTTCAGTGTCTTGTACTATCCAAATACAATTCTTTTACATCCTTAGTTAGATTTATTCCTAGGTATTTTATTCTTTTTGAAGCAATTATGAATGGGATTGTTTCTTAATTTCCCTGTTAGTTTGTTATTGGCATATAAAAATGCAACTGATTTCTGAATATTAATTTTGTATCCTGCTACTTTTCTGAATTTATCAGTTCTAGTAATTTCTTGGTGGTATCTTTGGGGTCCTCTATGTACAGTATGTCATCTGCAAATAAAGACAGTTTTACTCCCCCCCCCCAATTTGGATGCCTTTTTTTTTCCTTCTTATCTGATTGCTGTGGCTAAGACTTCCAGTTCTATTTTGAATAAGAGAGGTAAAAGCGGACATCCCTGTTTTGTTCCTGATCTTAAGGGAAATGCTTGTAGTTTTTGCCTGTTGAGTATGATGCTGGCTTGGGTTTGTCGTATATGGCCTTTTTTTTTAAAATTTTTTTATTTTAATCTTTGTTCAAGTACAGTTTTCTCCCTTTTACTCCCATTCCAGCCCACCCACCCAACCCTTCCCACTTCCCTCCCATTACCACCCTCCCCCTAGTTTTTGTCCATGTGTCCTTTAAATTTGTTCCTGTAAACCCTTCCCATTCTCCCCTGAAATTCCCTCTTCTCTCCCCTCTGGTCACTGTCAGTCTGTCCTCTATTTCAGTGACTTTGTTTATATTTTGCTTTTTCTTTGTTTTGTTGTTTAGGTTCCTGTTAAAGGTGAGATCATATGATATTTGTGTATATGGCCTTTATAATGTTTAGGTACATTCCCTCTATTTCCACTTTGCTGAAAGGTTTGTTTTTTTTTTAATCATAAATGGGTGCTGAATTTTATCAAAAGCTTTTTCTATATCTGTTGATGTAATCATGTGTTTATCATCCTTCCTTTTGTCTATGTGGTAAATTATATTTATTGATTTGTGAATGTTGTAGCATCCTTGCATTCCCAGAATAAATCCCACTTGACCATGTTCTTGCCCTTCTCCTTCTGGCACCCCAATGATTTGGATGTTGGAACATTTAAAGTTGTCCTGGAGGTTCCTAAGCCTCTCCTAATTTTTTTGAGTTTTTGTTTCTTAGTTCTGTTTAGGTTGAATGTTAATTTCTTCCTTTTGTTTCAAACTGTTGATCTTAGAGTTTCCTTCTCGTCACTGTTGTTTCACTGTATATTTTTCTTTATTTCACTTTATACAGCCTTCACTTCTTCCTGTACTTTGCAGCCATGATCAACCATTTCTGTGAGCATCCTGATTACCAGTGTTTTGAACTCTGCATCTGATAGGTTGGCTATCTCTTCATTGCTTAGTGTTTTTCTGGAGCTTTGATCTGTTCTTTCACTTGGGCCATATTTCTTTGACTCGGCATACTTTCTATGTTGTAAGTGGTGGAGCCGTAGGTGTTTAACAGGGCAGGGCAACCCGCTTCTCTGAGTTGTGGCACTGTGTGGAAGGGGGAGGGGTCAGAGAGGGAACAATGCAGCTTACTTAGCTCTTGCCCTGCTTTCAGTCACTTCCCCTGCTTCCTACAAGCAACTGGTGCCCTTTCAGTTGCTGCCCTAGTGCTGATTCCTAGGTGGGTGGGCTTGTGTACATTCTAGAGGACTCCTTGGGCCACTCAGACTCTCCTGAGAGACTGGCTCAAACCCCGCTGCCACAACCTCCACAGGTTTTACAGCTAGAGGTTATGAGACTTTAATTCCCAGTGCTGGGACCCTGGGTTGCATGGTCTGTATTGCTCGCTCCCCAGTTGTCCTTCCATTTTTATCTTTATGAGAATGTAGGACCACCTGGTCCACCTAACTTTTGAGGTTTTTAACCACCATGTGACCTGTGTGACTTTCAGGTGCTACTCGTGAGCAGTAGTCGCCATCCAGACCGATGGATTGTCCCTGGAGGAGGCATGGAGCCTGAAGAGGAGCCGAGCGTGGCAGCAGTTCGTGAAGTCTGTGAGGAGGTATGCGCTGAGAAAAAAGAGCACGGTGTACCCTGTAGACGTGAAGCTTTCCTGTATGTAGTTTTTCATTTATTACCACTCACTGATAAACATAACTCATGATCATAGAAGGCATTTGACAGTTACCACATGCCTTCTGCAATCAGGTTCTGACATGGTAATGTTTATTAGGCACCACTCTACACAGGGCAAGTGTTCATAGTGGTGACTGTGTCTGATTATACCAGACAGCCCTGTGATTTCCCTTGGATCTCTTCCAATACTGCATCTCTTACCTGTAGCAGAACATCAGGAATCAAATAGTTTATCAGCCCTAAGAAATAAGAAGAGCAGGCCGTGTTGGTATAAATGGCCCTTTCTCATTAACCTTTGGATGGGGAGGAGGTGGCCCTAGTTTTCCTGTTTCCTCAGTCCTGACCATAGAACAGTGGCTAAGGCAACACTTCTGTTAGCCAGAAGCTGTTAATGGTGCAGCTCTAGAGATAATGGTATCTTTTTTAAAAAGTTTAATCACATGATACTCAACATACATATGTTGAGTTTCTGGGCCATTCCCAATACATCTAACTAGATACTTGAGAATAAACAGTCAGAAGAAGTAAAATCTTAGACCCTATTCCCTCATTTTAAGAGCTTACAGTTAGGTTGGGGAAACTAAGAAAGAGATTGCAATTCAAAACCAGGAAGAAGGAACTAATGTTTCCTGCCTCTTGGGGAAACACCACTCTCTGCTCTGCTTATGTTACTCATTGAGGAACTCCTAATTGGTGCTTTAAATTTCATTATTCCTGTTTACTTCCCCTTACCACATCAGTAGTATTTTTAGATCCATTTTTTTGTTCCAGAGGGGATGTAAGACTGATTCTAAGAACATATAAAGTGACACTTAGAACAAGTCTAAATTCTACATTTCTTTTGGGTCCAGCACTTGCTGAAGTCCATTTAGGCTAATCTTACCTTTGGAATACTCCACGAATTCTTGTGTCACTCTCATTATATGCCTGGTATCTGCAATTAGATTGTAATCTCTGAGGACAAAGATTATGTTTCCTACTATAAATCTTCCCTTTCTGTGCCTAATTCACAGTTAGGTGGACAGAAGTAATTATTGCATGCTTGTGTGACAGATGAAATAATAAAAACCCTGAAGAAATACCCCAAATGGAAATTATTAGCATTCTTTGTGGCGGATTCCAAAGGTTTGACTATTCAGATAAGTGCAGTAGGGCATTTGGTGGACCTCAGCTGCATCCTTTCGATTTAAGTCCATTTCGCTCCTCTGGTAGGTTCTAAGGCACTTAAGGCAAAGTGATGTTTGACAGAGTACTGTGGCAGTTGTACTCTGACATGTTGGAAGCCCTGAAATAGAATGAGGGTTCTAGAATTGAAAGATAGGAAAAAGTCCAGAGACCCTGTTCCAAACTTACTACTTGGTTTTAGGACCTGTGAGGTGAACTCTGACAGCTCTACCTTTGTAGGGGACAGTGGGATTGGCCATGTCTCGGGAAAGCTTATATTAGTTGTTGTTACTGTTCTTGTTTGGTTTTTGAGTGTTGTGGCTGGATGGTCCCTAGGTTGTGCAAGTGCCGCTAAGATGTAGAAAAGTAGATGATTGCCATAAGAGGTGCAGCGAGGGATAGGACAGGATACAGGGTGCCGCGCCTTTGTTTCCTGGAAATTATGCACCATCCTTCAGTGAGTGAAAGGGAGAATAGAGTGAAGTAGGAATAAAGTACTTGGTATGTGAGAAAGTGAATGACCTAACACAGATAATTAAACACTATTTCTCATGTTCAGTGTCTGATCTACCTCCTCTCTTGAAGGGAATCCTGAGCTTAAAAATTAAACTGAGCCTGCCATTCTCAACCCTGAAGAGTCCTGTCTGACTTTGGGCAAAATTCTCTCCCCCAGTCCAAGGAGAGTCATGCCATACCTTGTACCTTATTCCATTATATTGAGAGGATAAAGAAATGTCTGTGACTGCTTGGACATTAGAATAAGTTATCACATACAAATATTTGTACAAACAATTAAAAATTAAAGAAATATGTCATTACAAAACCAAACCTTTCAGTGGCTTCCATCAAAATAAAATGGAGGGGTTAGTTTTTCCAATTCCATGCCTAACAGCAGAGAATAAGACTTGGAATCGGAGAGGATGTGGGTTGATGTTTTTTATTGCCCTTAAAGGGTAGCTTTAATAATCCGAAGTCGCTATTCAAGGATGTATTTAGTTTTCAAAACGTTATGACTTTTTTCTTGTACACATTCAAAAACTTTGTTCTTTCATAATGCTTATAGATCAGATTGCTCTGTAAGCAGAGGAGATTTTACTAGTCACTTTCTTTTTAAAAATCTTACTTATTTTTAGAGAAATGGGAAGGGAGGGAGGAAGAGAGAGAGAGAAACATCAATGTGTGAGAGGTACATTGACTGGTTGCCTCTCACACACCCCTAACTGGGGTTCTGACCTGCAACCCAGGCATGTGCCCTGATAAGGAATGGAACCAGTGACCCTTTGGTTCGCAGGCTAGCACTTAATCCACTGAGCCACACTAGCCAGGACTATTAGTCACTTTTAAGAGGCCTTTGGATAATACTTACATCAGTTAATTGAAGACTTTCAGATGTTTCGGTTGCATTTACAGATTTTACATATCTGATTGCTCTTTAAAGAATTTCAGTTATCTGACTTAAAAAACAAAGACCTCACAAAACTCTTCAACAAAAATGTCCTATGATTCTCATATATTAAACTTACAAATAAGGTGAGTCTTAGGTTCTTTAAATACAAGGGGGACCAAAAACAAAACAGAATTTATTTATTAAAAATTGTGTATTTTTCTTACATATTTAAAAGTACTCTCCATTTGATGCAGTACACCTGTTGACACGTGTTTTCCACTGCTCAAAAGAGTTTTCTGAACTTGTTGATTTTGATACCTTCTAGTGCTTCTGCCATTTTTTTTCTTTCACCTCTTCCATATCAGCAAAACATTTCCCTTTGAGACATTTTTTCATCTAGGGAAACAAACAAACAAAGAGTCACTTGGGACCAGATCAGGTGAATAGGGAGGGTGGGGCACGGGGTCATTCCAGTTTTGGTCAGAAACTCCTGCACGCTGAGTGCTCAGCGCAGTGTGGGCAGGTGCACTCTCAAATCACCCATCGTGAAATGGGCAATGCGTTGAAAGAGTCTTTAAAAAAAAAATCACTGAAGCTAAATGCAGCCTCTCACAACAATGCCAGCTGTTACAGGTAGGTTCCTAGAACTCACCTAGCAGAGGAAGCCTGTACTATAAGGCCCCGCCCTCCAGAAGATAATTTTGGTTTTTTGGGGGTCCCCCTTGTATTCCCATGGTGTATGTAAACTTAAAACTTCCAACTTAAAATCTTAAGTCAGAAATAAATTAATTATATTTTCAAACTTGAGGTTACAATCTAATAGGCCAAATTCTTTTAAACATTACAAAATATGTCTGGTCTCCTTCTTAATATAGAATTTACTATGACTTTGATTCTCAAACATTTCCATATTTCATTCTAAATATTTCCGGTACTGAAAGATGCTTACCCACCAAAGAAACCGGCCCTCCCTGTAAATGAGGTCAGGACTCTTGGACGGCCTGGTGGGAAACACTGATCCAGTTCACTGTCAGTCTCTCAGGACTCTCTTACTTCACAAGACTGGTGGTCATGCAGGCCGCACATGTGGGAATGGGTATTGGGTGAGCAGTCTGCAGCATCCGGCACATCTGGCTAACTCTGCATCTTAATCTAAGAATTGCTTCTCTCATGAGGTCTTTCTGACCCTGTAGACTTGTTTCTTTCTGTGTGCCCAGTGCAATCTGCACTTCTAGCACCATGGTGTTGATCATCTTTTATTGGTACCACATGCTTAAGTCTTCTATGCTAGCCTCTATCTATACTCTGTGTAGTCAGGTACCATTCTTTCTTGCTCACTATTGAACCCCCAGTGCTTACCATAGAGCAAGTGCTTACAAAAACACAATTTTTGTATTTTATAATTATTACTATTATTAATGTGATCTCTAGAGCAGCCACATAAATGCAGTTGAGTTAGATACTTTCAGGTTGTTAAGAGTTAACGTGCCTACAAGGCCTTCAGTTAAATGAGGAAGAACATAACAGTATTGCAGCAGCTGCCCAGCCAGGCTGTGCAGAAATAAAACCTTGGGTCACCGTGCACAGACAGGTCTTACTTACAGTGGGTGGACACTGGGCATGCCATGTAACACAAGCAGCCTGGTCACTGCACTGATGGCCCTGACCCTCCCTTCCAATGTGGAGGAGCTGCCTTTGTAACCTCAGCCTCCTGGCTTCTGCTTACCACTTTTTGTTTTGTGTTTTTCCTCCCTGGTCACCACTCACCTGTCAATCAAGTCTTTGTATCTCACTTTCAGTCTTCCTAGGAGAGACTCTGATTGGTTTTGCCTTGTTATGACCTTTGGGCAGAGTTGCCAGGCCACATTGTCAGCTTCTGGGCATTTTGAAGATGTTTGCTGTGCCTTTGCCCCAGTTGCTGATTTCTTGTTTCTCTAGCTGTGCTGAGAGTGGCAGGTTCCTGTGCTATGAAAGCATAGCAACCTGTGCTTCAGTGCTATCTGCAGCAGCTCTCCCAAGGGTCCTCTGTATATAGTGAAAAGATATTTATGAATACAGGAATATGTTTGCAACCCATTCCTAGGTGATCAAAGCTGGCTACAAAACAACATTTATGATACGAAATCATTTATTGGGGGAGAAATGTGTGTGTAACTATTTCTGTAGAAAGAATAGATAGCACTGCTATACACTTACTATGTGCTAAGTTCTGTTCTCAGCGTTTTGCATATATTGCCTCACTTAATTCTCACCATACCCTGTGAGATAGGAACTATTTTTATTTATGTTTTACAGAGGAGAAAAAGACTGAGGTTCAGTGAGAGTAAATAGGTTGTCCATACAAATTGTGTCCAACTAAATGTGCTCAAGTGCTT